AACGCTGTGTGACTTGCTCACGGTCACACAGCCAGCTGGCGACAGTGCCAATTCTAGAACCCTGATCTTCTGGCTCCCATCCTTGGGCTGTTGCACAACACTCTGCTCTCCCCAATCTGTCCCTTCCCAGCCCCCATGAGCAAGGATGTCCCTTCCCAGACAGAGGCCCTCATGGCAGTGTCTCCTTCCCAGTGACACTGGGCATCATAGGGTGGGCACAAGGAGACCATGGGCCAACAACCCAGCACTCTGGGCTAGACAGGAAGAAACCCCCCTCCCTAATCCCTTCTGGAAGCACTGGGGGCACTAGGAAAGATCAGGAGCTCTCTTTGACAGAGCCTAAAAATCCTCCTCGCCTGCTGGGAACCTGGGAGTCCTTGGGCTGTGGCAGGGGAGGCCTGACCCCTTCCCAGCGAGGGCTGGGCAGGACTGGGTGACTTCTTTCCCTTCCTCACTGCTAGACCCAGGCTTCACTGTACCTCCAGGTACCCAGCGCCTTTCCTACCCTCCCCCTCCCTGAACCCAGAGAAACTCCACAAATATAGGCTCCTCTCAGAACACAGGCATCTTCCCTACTCGCTCCTCACCCACCACCACCAGCATCCCCAGCACACACGAAGTGCACCCCTTAGGGACTCGGGTCAGCCCTTGAGGCAGACAGAGCTCCAGAAGGGGCCAGAGCCACAGGGCCGGCCTTGTCCTGGGGGTGGGAGGCACGGGGAACCTCACTTCTGTTCCTAGCCAGCCCTGTGACCTTGGGGACTGTCATGTCCTCCTGTGGGTCTCAGCTCCCTTATCTACGAAATAAGGGTGTTGGACAATTTCAGCAATTTTCAAACGGGGTTCCACAGAGCATTTCGGTTTCCATGGAGGTAGCTTGGAGACCAGCTCCTGGGGACTGTGGTGGGCTCTGAGCCCTCACCCTGCATCAACAGAGAAGATTGACCTTCCAGTTTCACACAGTGGACTCCACATAACGTTCATTGGAACAAAAGCGGCAGCTGCTACAAAGAACTTGAAAGTCACCGGCCAGGGTAAGTGTTGACATCCATCTAGGTGATGATGCCTCCTGTGCACATGAAAAAAGTCTGGGGGAGCCCTGTTAGACCAGAGTCAAGACGCCTTCTTGTTCATTCGTTCATTCATTCATTCTTTCGTTCATCAAATGCTGTAAAGAACACGGAGTGCCCACTATCGCCAAACAAATATTTGATTGCCCAGAAACTTGCTGCCTCAGTTTTTCCCTGTCCGTGCCTTCTCTTGCTGCCAGTCCTAGGGTAGGGACACGCTCAGTGCTGGTACATAATGGGGGCCCCTCTAAAGCTTGGGTGATGCTTCCCTACTAGAGGAACCAGCCCCCATCTGGTGCTGTCAAGGCCTCCACTTGACTGCTGAGGCCGGAGTTCCCTGTGGTGGCTTCCCCTGTGCCTGCACCACCAGTGCCCTGCCCACTTGGCCAGGCGCATCCATCCTCATCATTGCTATACCAAGAGGAAGCTGTTTTGCCAAAACAAGACACTTAAGCTAAGTGGCCATTGTTACATCAGTCGTCCTTCCCACCCAGCTCCTCAGCCCAGGGCCTAGTACACACACTCCCACACACTTCCACTCACATTTGCCAAGGCTCAGGGGACAATGCAGGGGAAGGCAGGGTGGCTGTGCCAAGGGAGGTCTGCTCTGCACCCATGACAACATGAAATAGAGGACAAGGCGAGGGCCACATACCTGCAGCGGCAAAGGACAGGCGCCAGAGTCCTTGGGGTGCCTGGGGCTGGGAGATGGCAGAGTGACTGGAGCCTGCGAGGGAGCTATCTCAGGAACCGCCCAGCCCCCTCTGGAAAGGGTGCCTCATCCTGGACCAGCACTGGGCCCCCGGGTGGTTCTCACCAGTCCCTAGCACCTGTGGCCTTGAGCTGATTTGGAACCTGTTCCACTTGAAGAAGGCCCAACGTAAGAAAATCCACTCCACAAAGGAATATTGCTTCATCAATGGGTCTACTTCAGTCTTTCTTTAATCAACATCACACTTGTCTAAGAATTTAAAACGTGACCCACTTTGAAAAAGCACAAAATATGCACTGTCAAGAACAAATGGACATATCTGGTGTGGCGTACCTGTCGTCCCATTCTGTCATTCCGGACGATCAGGGAACCAGAAAGGAGCCTTGGGGCAGCAGGGGCGGGGGGGATCTGTCTAACCCTCTTCTTTGGTAGGTAGGAAGCTGATACATGGGGGAAGAAGATATTTGTTGAAATTTATAGGAACCAGCACCAAATTCTACACAGTGGTGATAAATCTCAACATTCTGTGACTCTCTCTCTCTCCCTCTCTCTCTCTCCCTCTCTCTCTCTATCTATCTCTATGCCAGATGCTATTCTAAATCAGCCTTACTATGGGAAAGACGCTATTTTGAGATTCCTTGAGGTAGGTATTATTAAAGTAAGATTAGCCTAAATCTGCCTCCTTACATATTTTAAGTTCGGATCAAAAGGTTTCTCTGTACATAGTAAACTATAACTCAACTGGATGTGTAAACAGACTGTAACCTACTCTTGTTAATAATCGCCAAGTTTTACCCAATCAAAGGCAACTGACTATTCAAAATGTGTTCAAATAAGGCTGTTTCTGTATCTTACTTCCGTTTTCCACCCTTGCCTTTTTCTGTCCGTAAATCCTCTCCAACCACGCAGCTGTGTGGGAATCTCTCTGAATCTATTCTTCAGTGGACTGCTCCATTTGAGAATCATTCTTTGCTCAGTTAAACTTTGTTCAATTTAGTTTGTCCAATGTTTTTCTTTTGATGGTAGTATTATTATTCCATTTTACAGATGAAGTAACTAAGGTACAAAAAGGCGAAGTGGCTTGCCCAAAGCTGATGGGGAATGTGGTCAGTTCTCTGTCCAACACAACATGAAACTTTCTTTGAATATCAGAAGCTGAGCTCCTTCTCCGCCTCTTTTCCAAGATCTTTCTGAAGATCCAGCAGCTGCTAGAGGAGTGCCATCAGGCTCCAGCCCACTGGCCACCATTTTCCTGATGACATTTTGGAGTTGAGGGACAGAAATCACAATGCATCTCTCTGCAATAAAGCCCTCAGGGAGAAGGCACAAGCTCAGGTGGCCAGCTTCTCCCAGCCCACTCCTATTTAATCATTTTTTTTTTTTTTTTTTTTGAGATGGAGTCTCATTTGTTGCCCAGGCTGGAGTGCAATGATGTGATCTCAGCTCACCGCAACCTCTGACTCCCAGGTTCAAGCAATTCTCCTGCCTCAGCCTCCTAAGTAGTTGAGATTACAGTCATGTGCCACCACGCCTGGCTAATTTTGTATTGTTAGTAGAGACGGGGTTTCTCCATGTTGGTCAGGCTGGTCTCGAACTCCCGACCTCAGCTTGCCTCGGCCTCAAAGTGCTAGGATTACAGGCGTGAGCCACTGCGCCCGGCCCTAGTTAATCAGTCTCAAGAAATCTGCTGCAGATGAGATTACAAGCCCCAGCTATAGGCTCACTCACTTGGGGCTTCCATCTTAAATATGGGGGTAAAGTTGAGAACCTTAAATAAGGATGTAGTGATTCCATTCTTCCATTCCAAGATAAGTTTGGACAATCCTTTTTCAGAATAAACATGGCACCTGTCATAATATTTGACACTTACTTCATAGATTAATTCAGAGTTCCCCAGTGAAGTCTATTCTCTGTCCTGTCCCCCTCCAGCAACCTTCCCTGACTCTGAAGAGATGAGCTTCCTGGGAAGATATCGCCCCATCACCCTGTCTCAGGGACGGACCCTACTATCCATCTCCAGTGTGAGCATAGCCACCCTTCAGATAGTTCAGCCCTTCTCCCTCTTGAGTTTAGGGACCATCTAGTTTAGACTCCCAGCAAATTGCCAAGGAGGATGGAAGGTTCACCTTCCGCATGCCCCTGTGTACCACCCTTACTGTTCAACAATGAGAGGCTCTGACCCCCTAAGGCCTAGAGCCAAGTGACTTTGGTGAGGTAGAGATGTAAACCAAGGAGCCCAGAACAGAGGGTAAGGGAGGTATCCTGGGAAAGAAAAGCCAAGAGAGGGCTGGAAGAATGGTGGGAAAAATGATGGGTAATTTTGCAGAAACACACTGGGGCTTCAGAATCGACCACAATCCAACTATAAGCCAGAACATAGGATGAGCTGATCTTTCCCAAACCCAGTGCTAGCCCATTTTCCCCAGAGTCCCAGGCTCTAAGCGAGGCACAAAGAATTTGGAGAGGGGCATAAAACAAGACCTAAAGGAAAAATGAGAGCACGAAAGGGATTTCCTGGAAGAAAAGAAAGTGGAGGCACAGAAGAACAAAATCTTTGGAAGCCTTCACGTGTGTGTGACTGGCGTTCCCACAGTGGTCGGGCTGGCTGCTCTCTCCCACTCCCAAGGGCAGCTGAGGAAAGGAACTTGAGGGCAGCGGGGCTTGTGGTTAAATATCAGGAAGCACTTCCCAAGCATGAAAGTTATGAAGCCCAAAAAGAAGTGACAAAGGGAAGTTGAAACATCTCCTTGAAAACCTTAAATGCACCCAGAAAGTCAGTTTTCTGGGAAGGTTTGGAGTATAGTGAGGGGTTTAGACAAGGTGACCCTGAATTCCAGTTAGAATGCTTTTGATTTTACAACCGGCAAAAATGAGATGAAAGTAGATTAGCCTGGATTCCCAACCAGCCAAGCTGATGCTGTAACAGCATGGATGCTTGGTAGGAACGCTCACAAGCCACAGAGCAGGAATCTATGAACTCAGCCACACAGCCCTGGGGTGCTCCCCAGCCAGACCCCAAATCTCAGCAGCTTCTCCTCCCAGGAGCTCCTTTTAGAGCCATGTTAAAAGGAGACCAAAAGATCTTGATCCTAAATAGCTTCAAACTAGTAAAAGCACAGCAGTTTCCCCCAAATCTGAAGCACAGAGGTGGCCGTCTCACCTGTCTCTCAGCCCCAGCCCTGCTTCCTCCACGCTGGGAGGCTTGAGGTCACACTCACCCCGTGGCTGTCCCTCTCCATGGTCTCCGAGGGAAGAGTCTTCCAGGCTTAGCTGATGTCCAAGAGAAGATCCATGTTGGCCCCCGGCTTCCCAGGCATGTGGGGTAAAGGGGTTGGAGGGCTGAGGGCCAGCCCCTACCAAATGGGGCGGGGAAGCCAGTTGGGATGTGTGAAGTAATTCCCAGTATAAACAACACAGAACTTGCCAGACCTGTTCCTCCACCCCTCATCGAGGCCATCCCAGTTACTCAGCGAATACTGAATACCTGAATATGGGAACATGAAGCTACCTTTACTCCTGAAACTGCCCCCACAGAAGCAGGGAGTGTTCTGAGCTGCTTCTTCAGAGGGGCCCTGAGAGAAAGGGCAGAGCCCCATGAGGATGGTCTTGGTCCTGTTGACTTGAGCCCCTGAAACAGATGTTCCCGAGCCCTCTGAGAGATGACCCTATCCCCATAGGGGATGTTCCAGGCCAGGGACAGAGCCCCACCTATGGCTGGACAGTGGGAACCTTCATCCCCAAGAACCAGGTGTCCAAATCCCAAATCAGGGCACATGGTCTCTGGGCACATGGTCTGGCAGTTGTTTTTTTTCCTGAACTCTGTTTATTTTTATGAAACTCCTGACAAAGAAATGAAAATCAAATGACCTTCAATTATGCAATCATGAATTGCCCTCTATTGAAAACACTAAGTGCTAGACACCACACATCAAAGTCAATGGAATAAAACATAAATATCTGAATGGAAACTGTTCCAAGAAATAGTGGACTGACTCGTGGTCCCAAACCTATACCCCATTCTGATCCTCAGAGTCAAAAGAAGTAGAGGAAGGGCTTTTACAAAAGGAGTGCTTCGGGCCTCCGAGCCCAGCTGAGCTGCTGCTGAGAACTGCAAAAAGAAAAAGGAGGTCCTGGTGGGGTCTGGGAAGAACTTTCCTGAGCATTCGGAGCCACCAAGATTTTAGAGTCTGAAGGAAGCTCATAGATCTTTAGTGGTTCAATCTTCTCATTTTACAGATGGAGAGACAGAGGGCCAGAGAGACTAAGGAATGTGCTCAAGTCACACAGCAAACAACACAGCAGTAGCAATAATCTTAAGACGCCAGGAATCCTGTGAAACACGCATCCTTCACGCATTCATTCAACAAACATGTACAGAGTGCCTGGCATTGCTTTAGGTGCTGGGGTCACAGGAATAAAATAGGCAAAGGCCCCTGCCCTGTGGCTCTAGTACTTGGGGATTGGGAGGAAAAGCAGACACAAATCAATAAATCAGTTATGAGGCCTCCTAGAAAGTGAGAAGTGCTGTTCAGAAAAATAAGACAGCCAAAGGATCGAGAAGGCAGGGGAGGCGGAGTCCTGGCAGTTGGGAACAGGATGGTCAGAGAGGGCTCTCTGCAGTGACGTTTGAGCAAAAACGAAAAGGAAGAGACTACTATCCTCCCCATTTACACTCAAGAAAACAGAAACTTCTAGCTTACAGTGGAAACTGTGCCCCAGCTTAGGGTGTTGATGGAAATCTAACCCAGAGGCAGGAGGCTAGGGGACAGAACCCCTGGAGGCCCCGGCAGGGACCCTAGAGTTCTCTAATCTTGGCTTATTATTGGAGCCACTTCCCTGGCTTGCGAAGAGAGCAGAATTCAACCACAGGCCACATCCCCTTCCTGCCGCATCCAGCATCCACTAGCCCACCGTGACAAAGAGACCCCTCCCATCCATCCTCCAGAGGACAGGCTGGCCTCATGTCCTCAGTTCCTCCTCCTCCCTCTCTCCTAGAGAGGAGCCCCGCCCCTCTCTGGCTGCTGCTGAGCCCTGGCACGCCCAGGCCGGATCTGAGGACCTCGACGTCATCCCCCACCCAGGCCACTGGCCTCCAAAGGGCAACCTCAGCCTCCTTTTCTGAAGGTCCCACCAACATAGGGAAAGAGCTCAGGCTCAGGGCCCTGGGCCAGTCAGGAGGAATGAGAACCCTAACTCCGAGGGGAACTTGCAAGGTCTCACGGGTTCACCATCGGAAAACGAGAACATGTAGAACCGGAGGAAGTGCCTGGCCTGCGGCACTAGACAGGCTGCAAAGGAATGTCAGTTTCACCTCTTGCTCTTTTCCTTGGTTTCCATCAGAGACACAAGTTGGTTGGTCCCAGAGTCCTCGCTGATCAAGCCGTCTGACCCATGTGAAATCCCTGCCAACAGCATTTCAGCTCAGCAAGCATTGACTGCTCAGCACCAGGCACACAGTGGCTGCTGGGGAGTGAGGGCGGTGGGCAAGGGACAGAAAGGCAGGGGCCCTGCCCTAGGAGAACACACAATTAATGTGTTGGGGTGGGGGGTAGGGGGGACTCTGAAGCATGAAATCCCTTGCTGGTGGTTTTCCTATTTCCAGAGTGAAGGCCAGCACTGGGGCAGCGCCACGATCTGGATGCCGCCCCCAACAGAGCTGGCTTCGGAAGCCTGCACCGATTTGTACTTCCACACCTGACCTTGGCCTGGCCCTTCCCTTGCTCCCTCCTCCCGGCCTCCTTTGCTGTCCTCCTGACTGTACAATCTCAGGCTCTCTCTGACTCCCATCCTTTCCTTTGCCTCCCTCTCTCTGGCCTTGGTCCCTAGCTTTCTCCCTCCAGCTCCCCAGTTGCCTTCTGAAAAGACACCTGCCAGGCCCGCCTTTGGCTACTCCGCATCCAGAGGTTGGAAGCAGCACCTGGGACCTACCTTCCACTCCCTCAACCCCCAAGGGAGAGTGTAGGCCAGCCATCAGGCCCATTAGTGCCCTGGTCATTTCCTACCAGGGAATGATTTCCATGTGGAGTGGAGGGAGTTTTACAGAAAAAAATGTCAGCATGCAACCAAGCACACATCTCCCGGCAGCTGGCCAGGAGATTGAGTGCGAGAAAATCTCACTACTGTTTTGAGACTAAACTCTCCACTTCCATAGCTGCTCTAACCACCACTACCCCAGTGCCTTGGGAGGTCCTTCCTGGGGCTCCAGCCTGGGAAACAGAGCTCTGGGACCTCTATTTCCAGCCTTATCTTCCTTGGAGTTCCCACCTCGGGCAGCACTCCTCCCTCCTGGGTCTATCAGAAGCTTCACCCAGAATCACCTCCCAACTCCCTACTTGGAGCCCTTGCCTACCCTTCCCCACTTTGCACCCCACTTCTGAGCTTCTCCGCTATTTTTGGCACAATAGATGGATTTCCCTCCAGGCCTGAGGGCAGCCGGGAAACAGACGACATACTTAGAGGCCCAGCAGGCCAAGGGGAGACACTGGGGCCACCCTCAAGGGAGTGAGTCATCAGGAGCCACTCCTGGGCCCAGCACACCTAATGCTCCCATGGTCTGTCATGCCCCCGCCCCCCCAAGCCCAGCAGTCTTCCCAGCTGCAGCCCCAGGCAGGTCTCTCCGGCCCCTCTCCGCCTTCCAGGGCAGTCCCGGGTCCCTCCCAGCTGTGGTCCTAGCCACATCTCTCCCCACTCCAGGCCTGCAGATGGTTGATCGGTGCTGAGTTCTCTAGACTAGAGGTTGGTTCTCTCTTCCTGCTTTTCCCTTGGCGCTGGACGTCAGTGATGAAGTGAGGCACTTGCTCAAGCTGCACAGTTGAAGAGAGTGCCCAGATAAATCAGGCGTCCCCAGACTTTTTCACAGGGGGCCAGTTCACTGTCCCTCAGACCGTTGGAGGGCCGCCACAGACTGTGCTCCTCTCACTGACCACCAATGAAAGAGGTGCCCCTTCCTGAAGTGCAGCGGGGGGCCGGATAAATGGCCTCAGGGGGCCGCATGTGGACCGCAGGCTGTAGTTTGGGGACGCCTGAGATAAATCATGTTTTAATGAGATATTTTTAAAACTGTCATTCATGGAAAAAGTCCAAGGTGAATAAAATATCAGCATTTTAAGTAGAGACAGGATCAGCTTTCCATCTGGATTCGGTAGCCCCTTTTCATTACTTACATGTTAGCAGGGCCCCATTTTCCCCCGGACTATTCCTTCTACTTTCTGCAGGATATTATCCCAGCTGCTCAAAACATCCGGGCCAACCAAGAGCAAGGGAGGTCTTTTCCCAGGGGGTGAGCCCTCTCTCTGCACAGAGCTCTAGAGAGCTGCTGTCTTCACCGTGAATCTCTATCTGAGCTCCTCCTTTTTTGTGCAGTATTACTTCATTTTCAGTCTTCCACGCATCTGCATGGTCTATATATTCTTTGTTGTGGCTGAACAGGAGACCACAGAATTAAGCAAACCGATGCCTATCTAACCATTTGCTGGACATGGACACGTGCTACAATCTGTTCTAAGATTTGGTTTTTAAATTAACAATGCATCAATAATGTTAACAATTGGATGCTGACAAACGTGCACACCCATGTAACCACTGTGACCATCAAGATCTAGAACAACCCCGTCACCCCAAAAGGTTTCCTCCCGCCTCTTGCAGTCAGTTCTCCACCTCCCTCCCAGCTCCAGACAATCACTGAGTGCTTCCTGTCACTAGAGGTTAATTTTCCCTTTTCTGGAATCTCATCCAAATCTGCCCTAAGATTTAATGCTCAGGGTTCACCCTGAGCACAGCCCAGCAGAGCCACGGCCCCAGGACTCACATCAGGTGCTAGGTCCTCTGAATACTGTAAGAGGAGGCCAGATCACATGGAGAGATTTTTTTATTCAAGCCAAGAGAAAACAGCCCATACCGGGAGTCCATACGAAGTCCCTGGTCCCCAACTAGCCTCTCAGCAACTCTAAGGGAGGCTCACCGGGGACTCTGCTGGCAGGGCAACTCTAAGGTTCCCTATCTCCAGCAGATACTGGGCCTCTCCCCTGGATAAAGAGGAAAGGGGAGGGAGAAAGGGCTGGCACACCCAGAAGGGAACCCAGGAAACAAGTGTGGGCAGGAAACCAAAAGACCACCAGATGACTCCCAGCAGGTCTGTGGTTCAGAGAGGGGCCACACTGTTTCTCTTAGTCATGGAATTTACTGCCCCCTTGTGTTTTGTTCAGGGCCACACGGGACAGAGAGTGACAAATCCCTGCTCTTCTTCTGATAATCGGCATTCCTCTCATTGCATGATCAAAAATCTATGATTAAAGGCTGGGTGCAGTGGCTCATGGCTATAATCCCATTACTTTGGGAGGTTGAGGCAGGAGGATCTCTTGAAGCCAAGAATTTGAGACCAGCCT